GAGTCTGTGGGTCACAACTGACACTGATTCTGTGAGAAGGCAAACATATTGACTGGAAGAGATCTCACACACACACACACTTACACACACACACACACACACACACACACACACACACACACACACACACACACACACACACACTCACAGCAGCAGTGGTCTGAGTGTGGGTCGTGTTGTTTCGCCCCCCGCTGGTCAGATACAGGTACTGCTGCTGTGGACACGAGTCAAAAACTCGAGGTTTTTCTGCGACATGATGAAGAAAAAGACAAAGTAAATATGAATCCAATGTAAATTCATTAATTATGATTTTATTAGTGTCTTAATTAATGTATTTTATTAATTAATCGTGAACGTCACCACATGTTGCTGCAGCAGAGTTTTCTTTCATCAGCGCCATCTGCTGGCAGACGATCAATAATGCAATAGTTTTACAGACGGCCACAAAGCGAAACAATATGAAATCAGTATGTTTCAATAACAATCATCGTGTAGTGGTAAATAGTTATTTTAAGGAGATTTATTTATATTGATAACATGAGTCTTGAAGAAATAAAAATGGATTGTAAATAATAACAAAAAACTTAAATAGATTTTTAAGAGGGAAGTGAAACAAACTCACTCATTTCTTGATCATAATGTTGATGACAAAAATGTATTTGCAAGTTTCCCAACATTCTAAATATCCAAGCAAATATATATAATACACAATAAATTATAACTTCTGTATGAAAAATAATTTTCATTATTCAGATTATCAGATTATTTTACTAGTAAAACAAACAGAAAGCTGCACAAAGGTTATTACTTCTACTACTCTAATAATAATAATGAAATACTCACCCCTGACATCTGCTCCATCCCGAGACGAGAAGAAAAACGTAACCAAGATGATTGGAATCAATAAAAGTTAAATTTGGTGACTAAAAATTTAAAGTTGCAGACGAGAGAAGAGACACGGTCTGACTCTGCAGACTGATGGAGGAAATCATGTTCATCGTGTTTATCATGATCACACCACGACTTACACACACACACACACACACACACACACACACACACACACACACACACGCGCACACACACACACACACAAACACACACACACACATTTGGCCAGAGATTCTCTTGCTGCTCATACTTTTGTTTTTTGCAGCAGCATCTGTGAAATTCTTTTTCAGATGAACTGTTAAACATTAATGTCTGATTCTCATTGAAAACTTTCATTCTCCTCTCTCTGACTCCCCCAGGCCTCCTCTCTGCTTGACCTCCGACCTTCCCCCTCCCCCTCATGTCCTCCCCAGGGGTCGGGTGTGGGAGTCAGGGGTGAGTCTCCCTGTGGCTTCTCCAACACAACTGTCGCAAACGTTTTACTGCAAATCCTCAGAATGGATCAGAAACCAGCGGTGAAAATATGAAGCTGTAACTTTTGGCACATTGAGGTCAGAGCAACACAGCAGCACTGTAGTGATCTGAAATATGTTTATATTCATCATAGAATATCTGAATTTGGATTTTAAACAGTGAAGTGATAAATGTGGCCCAAGGTTTGCACTAATTTAGCTAGAATAAAGAATTATCCAAAACCCATCATCGTCAGGGAAATTTAATTTAGTAATAACAGTGTCATTATTATAATGAGGACAATATATAGTAGATAGATACTTTATTGATCCCAATGCAAGCATCCAGTGGCAGTAACATAGATTGAACATACATTAGACTTGACTGAACATTAGAGTTAACTTATAACACAATAACCTTATGTTGAAATTGGCCTGAGATGACTGTAAATTTAAATGTGTACAGAGGGATGAAGGAAATTTAATTAAATTAAACACTTGAAGCAAAATTAAACTTTTACAGAGAAATCAAACACAAAACAGAGGAATTAAAAATGTGCAGGAATATTCAAGTTAAAAACTTTGCAGAAAATGTTCATGGAAAATGAATATATAGAACTGTGTTAAGTTAACCCGTGATGATCGTCTAAACAAAAACTATACAAAAAAGCTAGAAAGTAGCTGTAGAAATAAAAAATGTTTCATACAACTAAATCTATATTAAAAATATAAAGTGACCGTAGGAGATTGGGATAAATTGGGGGGTTGGACTGTCCGTGGGTGTGGTGGGTGGGGGGGCTCTGCATCAGAGGTGATGATGGGTGTGAAGGGTGTGAAGTGGGCAGTCACTGGCTGTGGGAGCTGGAGAATCAAACCTGTTAAAAAACAGGTTTAGCTGGTTTGCTCTCCCAGCATCCCCCTCTTCTGTGCTGCTGCCGCCCTTCTTCTTGTAGCCTGTGATGGTTTCCATGCCCAGACCTCCCTCATGTGGTTCCACCTTCCCTCACTACTCCTCCTTTGCCTCTTCCTCCTGTTAAAGATGTGCTGGACATCGCTGGTGACCCGGGGCTTGTTGTTCAAGAAGCAGCACACAGTTTTAATGTGGGACCTCAACATCCATACAGAAGTTCAGGTAGTCTGTAGTGCAGTGGGTGATCCCTCGATGTCCTCACCATGTGGGTCCTGCAGGACGGTCCAGTCAGTAGACTCACAGCAGTCCCTCAGGGCCTCTGCTGGTTGTGGACTGTCTCTGGGTCTTGGACTCGTAGTGTGGTGTGAGCAGGACCAGGTTATAATCAGACTTTACCAGTGGGGACAGAGGAGTGAGTCGGTCCTCAGGGCAGCCAGCTCGTCCGTCTTGTTGGTCAACATTCCCCATGATTATCGAAGGAACCGAGGGCCCGCACGTCCACTGCTTCGCCGCCAGCCTCGCCTTCACCTTCGCCCCGGCTCTGCAGCCT